TTTTTTTTTTTTGTTTTTTCAATACTGATAAGTTTTGTTCAAATTTGACACATTTTAAAAAAAATGTTTAAGTCTATTTTAGCTCAAAATATCAAGAAAATTTTTCACTTATTTTTTTGCCAGCTGAAATAGTTAATTTTTAATTGAAAAAATATTTAGATGACTTCTTGAGGAATAGTCGTTGCCAGTCACTAAATCTAGTTCTTCACTATTTCACAGAAACTTAGCAGTTGTTTATTTTTGACTGCTAAATTTGTGTATAAATTGTATTTCCTTTTTCTTTAAAATCTTTTCGAGAGCTGTTAGAAGAAGAAAGCTCGTAAGACAGTGATGAAAGCAAAGCAAATGTATTGAAAGGCGTGGCTCTAAGCTATCGTTGGCTGCAACCAATTTTTCAGGAGTATTACGGTTTAGCTTTGTAAATTGTCGGTAGCAAACTGTTGTTTAAAAGTCTTTCTTCTATCTTCAGCTTTAATCTACTTTGTATTACTTTTCATTTATCTAGTTCTTTTAAAGACAAAAAAATGCTTTTTTCTTTTTCTCTTAGTGACAGTCTGCAAATTTGAAATTGAAGACAAATCTGTAATAGCATGATTATTTTTAAGTCTCTTCTTCTCTTTTCACCTTTGCTTATTATATTTTTTTAATTTAATGTCAATATTAATTCTGTTTTTCTTTTCTAGAAAATGATTTTCCTTCTTGCTTTGTTTTTGCTGTCAAGATTACCAGAGTGAGATGTTTCAAAAAAAATTTTATTAAAATGTGTTTTTTTTTTTGCTTGTAAGTCAAGATTACCACTTAGACTGCTTTCAACGACTTACAGGACTACTAAAAGGCACAAATGCTTTTCTCCTTTTTTTTCCTTTTTTTTTTTTTTGATTAATCTTTAAAATTTTGCATAAAATTAAACAAACAACACACTGTGCCTTGAGAAACCGCAAAGTAAGAACAATTTGCTTCTCGTAAAAAATTTTCACTTTTTATTTTTTACTATTTCTATCTTAGCAAACTAAACAGTGCTTGTTCTATACTTTACTGTCCAATTTAAATGAGGTTTACCAAGTGCAATCTACTCTGCAATAAATTTTCATGTCGAAACAATCATACAGATGGCTTCTTTTTCTTATCTTTTTGCAAACCTGATTAATGGAGATAAAGACAAAGATTTTAAAAACATCAATAGTCTGCAAAGTGTTGTGAACAGTTAAAGATATGTTAACAATAAGTTATTTTGTCGACCTTCTTTTTATGATTAACATCGTATTAGTGGTGTTTTTGTTTAGGTGAAACGTCAAGGTCAACCTTTTTTGCTATCAGACTTTTTGTAATATTTTACAGTTTCTAAAAGTGCAATTAAATTAGTCGCTAAAGGTTAGCAGAAACAATAATGAGGTGAATAGGAAAAACTGTAGTAAAACAAATGTAGATTGAAATATCAGAAAAAAAAATATGGAAGTTTTTTTTAGGGAATGTTCAGACAGTCGAAATTCAGTGTTGAATCTTTGCTGGATAAAGAACCATTAACAAGAACTCCTAAGAGCAAGTTGTTTGAATCTGTTCCTTTTAAACTTTATCATCAGCGTTGTTACTATTTTTCAACAAATTGAGCGAACAATAATGCAAAAGTTGTGTTTCAATTATTATTGTTTTCTTTAATATTCAGAGAAGCAAAATATATATTAAAAAAAATGATTTTTGAAAACGCAAGAAGAACAAGTCACAAAAATTTTTTTCTTAAAAAATTTTTATACATTTTAATAATTGTTAGCAACGCTTATTTATGGATAAATTGAAGGCTTTATTCACTGTCAACAAACATCCTCTCAGTACGAAGTAACGTCAGCTTCGACCACTGATTGTGAAATAGAAAAAACTAAAGATGCTAAAAAAAAGTATTGGTTTATACATTTTCTTTTTTTTTTTTTCATTTGCTACTACTATTTTTGATAATTAGTTTCAAAAAAAAAAAAAAAATAAACAACAACTTTTTTCTTTTTTTCCGCATTTGTATAAACATTGCAGGAAATTTCAAATGCCTAAAACAGGCAAACCAAGACGAGCACGCACAGCTTTCACTTACGAGCAACTAGTCGCACTAGAAACTAAATTTAAAAGTTCAAGGTGGGGTTTCTAGAAATATTCATGTAATATTTGTTCCAAACATGTATTAATTTCTAAATAAAACGATTCTGAGCTCTCTAAATTGAGCAATAAAAAACTCACCATGTTTAGCACAAATTGAAACGTTTAATAAAAAAAGTGTAGCTCTGAACGACTATTTCAACTGCATCGATATCTTCGGTCGATATTTCAGGTATTTAAGTGTCTGCGAACGTTTAAACCTTGCAATTGCTTTACGACTTTCAGAAACTCAGGTTGACACTTAGTTTTTACTAAAAACAGCTTGCATCACTAGGTAAAGTGTAATTTGCATAAAAGCTACAAAAATAAAAAAATTTCTTCTTTAGATCAAAATCTGGTTTCAAAACAGGCGCACTAAGTGGAAAAAGCATAATCCTGGACGAGATACGACAGACGTTGTGCCGAGTACCTCAGAACAGAGTTCCGAGATGGTGGTGGCTGAAGAAAAGAAACTAAGCGACACATTTACAACATCGTTAGGATCGACTCCAGTAGATGCTGTAGACCTGTCGCCGATGAAGGCCATTTGCGCAGGGTCTCTGCTTGTTCCATCATTTTATGCTCACTCCACTCACCTACGATTTACACAGAATCTTTTCCCTGCTGGCTACTGAACTTTGTTCAACTGTTTCAATTTCTGATTGGCTTATTGTTGTTTTGGAAGCCAAAACTTTGGTAATCACTGTAGTTTCATTGAATTACTCCATGTACATATGTATACGTACAATTATATATCTGGAAATTCGCCCAAAATTTTAGGCTTTCTTGTCGGTCGTTACAGAATGTTATCATGAGATACTGTTATATGCTGTGAGTCTTTAAGCCCGTTTCTAGTGTAAGCAATAGAAGAAAACTATAAAAACCAGTTTTTTTAATTTTTCTAATATTCTAGTCATTAGGTGTTAATTTGATTGAAGACAAAGAAATAAGAAAAAAAACCTCACTAAATTTAGCAGTCTACATAGGTATCCCACCAAAGTTTCAAAAAAGTTTCAATTTTTACGCAAATTTATTGCTTGATCCAGATACCATAGAAAACACAGTAATCAGCGTTCATATATTTAGGCAAGATGAAATAACCTAATTCTTGATATTTTTCAAAATAGTAGTGCAAAAATTGTTTATTTTCAATTTTTATGTAATTTTTTTTATTTCAAATTCATCCATCTGCATTTAACCACTTTTTCATTTTGACCGTAAAAAAGTTTGGTTTATTAATCGCATTACATAAGTACTGTCTAAATTTTTTTATTATTGTGTCAGGTTTAAAACTAATTTGTAGAAATCTAAAACAATTTTAAGCATTAACTTTGCCCTTCTTCGTTTCAAAATCGTTATTTTTTAATTTGTTGTTTCAGTTGCAGCAGTTAAATTTGAATAGTCTTAATCTCATCTTTTCTCTTAGCTATTATTTTTTTAATTTGTTGTTTCTGAATTATTTAGTAAACAGATTATTCGACCAATTGTTTCTGCATCGACTTCAGTATTGCAAACCAGCAAATTACTTACACTACACAATCGATCAGGATCGGCAATAGTGCTTAATGGTAATACAACGACGAAATTAAAAACGTGGCAGGCAGAGTGACATTAAGAAAAAAAAATTACTAGTCGTTTGGCATAAACAAAAGTAATTCTCTTAGTAAATTAAACTGTTGTAAAACGAAAATATTCAAAGCTTAGCAAAAGATTTTTTTGATAAATAAAGCAGCAATTTCTTGAGCTTTGCTCTAACACCTTAATCACTAACTTATAAACTGCGTTACTGTTTCTCTCATTGCATATCGATTAGAGTTCTTTTTTTACTTTTTCAGATTAACCCGATTATATGAACGTTTCTAAAAATGACTGCCAATAAACTATTCAAAAGTAAAATCAGCTAACAGAAAAACAGTAGTTTCTCTGAGGATACTGCAGTGCTTTTCACCACTTTTCTATAGGTCTTAGCGTTGAATTCATCTTGCAAAGGGATAACTGCTTTTGTAACATGAAGCACACAGAAGTGTGCGCAATAATATTTCGCATATGTTTCAATGTTGTCTTGAAACTTCTTTTTAATTATTCATTTTAACGAGCGCAGTTTCTGGCCTTATAGCCTATTGCCTCCAAACATGTGGAAACGCTTAGAGTTAATTGCCACTGTTTAGAAATAAATAAATTTTTTCAGTGTTTTTTCAATTCAACCTCATCAAACAGGTCTCTATTTTCTAATACAAATAAACATAAAAGATGAAAGACTAACAAAAATGAATACTTTATACGTTTATGCAGCTCAAAAAAAACTAATTAAATATTAGCTTGAAAAATAATAAGCAATTACAAACTAGAAAAAATAATTTTAATTGAGTATGACACAGTTAAACTGATAACTAAAAGTATCTGTACGCAATTTCTATAAATTTTTCGAGAAACAACAGTAATTTCCACTTTTTTTCTTAGAAAAGTTGATTCAGACTCTTTTAGGAATACAGATTTGTTTGAGTTGAAAGAGATGAAGGGCTGATTTATAGAAGATCAAGTTCTGTTAATATTTGACTGTATTTCTTCTTGTGTACTTGTTG